TTGAATAAGAACATAGAAGACAAGATTAATTTTGACGAATTTTAAATATATGGTGGTCTATATGATATCTGAGTAGGCTGAACAAATATAGAAGACCAGAAAAGTAAAACTTATGAATTTCGTAAGTGCGGCGTAGCATAGAATATATAGTATTGTTTTTGTTCGTTTTAGGGCAAAGCTACATTGAGCAGCTCTTACATCTGCTCTTTTCACCGCTAGAATTCGAACCCCGTATTGTAACATCATAAGTCCATAAACTCATCGCTGTCCAACCGGAGGACATATAAAAAGTAAATTAGCGCAATGAGTAACGTTGACCAGAACAAGGGTCTATAAAAGCACCGAGAAAAATTAGACTCATTAAGTTAACTTGAACACGTAAAATAGACCAGAATAGTTTCTTCCTGTTTTACAATATTTACTTAATGAACGCTGTACAGTATCGAGGTAAGGTGACTTAATTATCTGGCCAAAAATATACTCCAATATCTGTTTTGTTTTCTGTGGTTGTTTTTTATACCCTGGAGAAAGTTACACTTTTGGTCACTGTAATTCCGTAAATATTCCCGACTTTCTTGCAACTAAGTGCGCAATACTTGAATTATTTTATTTCTGCATAGACCAGCAAATTTTACTTACATAACAGGCCTGAGTCAACCATATATATACACACATAGAATTCCTAAATTCTGCTATTACCCTAAGTTCGTTTTTTTTTAAGAACAAACGTATTCTTACTGCTTTTTTAGGAGATAAACAGTTCTTAATAGATAACAGAATAAAACTCTTCAAATACGAAAATGATAAACTTCGTGATTTCATCTATGTTATTAAAATAAAAGATATAAAAGCGTTCTTCTTATTGTTATTTTTATAAAAGAAAAATTAGAACACAAGTTGTTATATTTTCATTCTAATTTAATAGTCACAGAACTTATAAAGTGTCTAATTTCTGTTATACAAAACATAGTAAAAAGAAATATATTTTGTTGTTTTTTGCGGATGTTAGTGTGAAGCAACACAAGGACTATCTGTGCTAGCTGTCCCTAATTTTGAAATGATAGACAGTTAATCAATGCTACCTACAGCGAACGTCTGGGCTATTCTTTTTGCCAACGAATAGTGGGAGTGACCTTGACATTATGACGCTCCCGCGATTGAAAGGGTGAGCATTTTTGGTGACGGGGTTCGAACCTCGTGACATGCAGATTGCACGTCGAGTTCCCATGTCAGTCTCGAGTTAAAAAGAAAAAAAATATTTAGTGATAAATTTATCAACTACAAGGGACGAAAAACTAAAATGTGTTCAGATCGAGGGCTCCTCGTGGGTCAGCGGTAAGTTTCCAGACTTGCGATGCTAAACTCAGGAGTTCGCTTCACCACGGAGGACAGAGCGCAGGTACCCCAAATGAGTAGCTTTGCACTACAAAGCTAACAAAAACAATAAGTTCGTGGATATTCCCTTTACTTAATGGCATTGAAAACTAAAGGAATATGGATCGATTTGAACCCCGAGGATCATCCAGAAAAAGACCTGTAACAATTCGTACCCCAGCAATGGCAAACAAAGTACTGCGTCATGAAACATGTGATAATCCACGAACACTAGTGTCAATAGAGAAAGCCGTCCATGTGAACTAGGCAACAGTTCGCAAGGCAAAAAAGAAGGACCCCCGTCTAAAAAAAAACAATAAAATTCACATGCACACAAGTTGTTTCCACGACGTATCATTTCAGTCATTGCATACCTCAAGCATCTGGAAAATGAAAAGGGTATTCATGTTATTCTATATGAAGGAATGCCCGTCAAGTCACTAAGCACAATGTTTATAGATTTCTGTGTGATAATCGGACTTTTGAAATGGACGCTGAGAAATCGTCATCCTCGTACACGATGGTTTATGGATAGCGTGCATGGAGGAGATGTGTGCTTTAAACACGTCATGACGAAATCTTTTACAATGGAAACTTCAATGCAAGCCTGTTGTCGATATGCATGGTTGTCAGATAGTGTATGACCAGACGCGGTGAAAGCGCCAAAATCGTTTCAACATAACGTACTTCACATCTGTATAATTACAAATCTTTTCAACACTGGAGCATATCTGCATATTATAACTATAAGCACATTGACAACGCAGAACTACATATAAATCATTTCGGAACTGTTGTTTTTGTTGCAATATAAATAGCCAGAAAAGTATTGCAACTAATAAACAAACGCAAACACAGCATAATCACAAACTGAAACTAAAAGATATCAAAAATATATAAAAAGGAAAAATTATAAACTGAAAGTTCTGTTATTGCACCCTGTTTTAACTGGGTGTGTGGGTGGGAGAACGTTTCGTCAAATGTAGACAATCTGATTATTTCAGGTCAATTCACTGTTCCGTGCATCTAATGTGGGTTAGTTTGAATGAAGAAAATTATAAATTATTTCTTAGACTATATCGTTTATGTTTGACACAACCTTTTGACAACCGTCGAATGATTTAATTTCGAGATAGCCGCAAGACAATAATAAATAAAGGAGGGTGATTAGGAAATTATGCTCGTCGTACATTATAATTAATACAAGAACTAGTTTGGCATTTTGCAAGTAGCATAATTTATTAATCTTAAAATCCTAACTCTGCCACTTTTTAAGATGTATGAAAAAAAAATGTTAATTTCAGGAATAAGGATCAAATTAAAAAGAAGAATATGAAAGTATAGACAAGTATCTTACCTTTACTGTGGAGAACATGTATTTCATGAAAAGAGAGAGCTTTCGTGATTTTGGCAATCACGACACCCTCATTAAGAAGTGAACTGTGATTGGCCATCATGTAAACAATGTTGAACACGTTATAACAAATTATTAACTTCAGCATTTTATACTGAGAACAGATCATTAGCTAACTTGTTATTTGTGCTTCCTGAGGTGCTTCTCAGTCGCCCTGAATAAACCTCTGATAAGTCGCTATGTAGCAAGAGTATTCAATAAGTTATATAGTCATCTGTGCCGAGGTGAAATAATGGCCAACCAATAGCAGCTGTTAAAGCCTTCTCATGTATAAAGCTGGAAGCAAATGTATATATAATCGATTCTTAGCTTTGGAGATTTTTTTAATCATATATTCTAGTCCCCATGGGGATTTTTCCTAAATAGCACCTTGGCCTACACAAGAAAATGTAATTAAATCGAAGAAAAGAAACAAACCACATAAAAATATATAGTAGTAGGAAGTCAGAATTTGAAAGAAAGTATATTAAATATACACATTAGTAAGTAGCCAAAATGTGATGCAAGTTGCATAAGATATTAATAAGTAGCCAAAATGTCAGATGAACTACATAAAATATACAATAGTAGGTAGCCAGAATGTGAAATGAACTACATAAAATATACACTTGTAAGTACCAAAATATGAAACGAACTGCATAAAATATACAGAATGTGAAACGCTACATAAATATACTTTAGTAAGTAGCCAGAATGTGAAAAGAAATATATAAAATATGCATTAATAAGTAGCCACAATGCTATGAACCTTCCAGTAAAAGAACGTGTAATCATGTAAAGTGTTGCAAATAAAATGTCATTAGAACTGAACCTTTGGCCATAAATAAAGCTTTACAACAATGTTTTGTATCATTTATGAAAACGATTATAAAAATGCGTTCTAATATAGCTGGAGAGCCCATGATAATTTAATTCGGTTTCTTTTGAATATTCACGCTAAACTAAACCAGGGCTATCAGCATCAGCCGTCCCTAATTTTGAACTGATGGACTCATTGAAACCAATGCCAACTCTTATAGCACGCCCGCTGCCTCAAAATGTGGAGCGTGATTTTTTTTATTTATTTTTTGCTAAACAGGACATAGTCATGGACCCTCGGATCCACAGTGCTACCCGTTAAATACCTGGTCAACCCCCACCTCTTGTAAAGTGAAAGACTGGACTGCAGAGTGGGGGAATCATTGGAGATCAGTAACTAGCTAATTATATCATTTACTGCATGAGTCTTCCCTTAAAGTTTATTTGTGTAAAAATATTTTGCACGTAAGCTTTAGCACGTGATTGATAAATGAATGCGTTGGACGGACAAACTGGGTTTTGGGATGGATGTGGCACTCAGGCAGCCAACTGGATTGCATTGATAGGTTAGAAAAGTGTGTAAACAAAATAAATAACACCAGTGAAACTTCGTGGTATTTACTACCATGGATGTGAAAGGACTGAAATAATTAGAAACTTTAGCACTCGACATGATGGAATTACATATTTTGTACTTTATTTGTATTTATGGTAAAGCTACTAAGACTATCTGTTACCGACCCTAATTTTAAACTACTGACCAGAGGGAAGGCAACCAGTCAACATTCTTCTTCCATCATCCATGCTAAGAAATTGACTTTCTCTCTTATAAGGCATCAACAACTTTAAGTGCTGCGAATATTTCGTTTTATCACACGGATTTGAACACGGCTCGCTAGCTCCGAAATCCTGAGCTCTTCCACAGGGCCAACCCGCGCCCTCTTTTATAATACAAACTATAATTGTCACTAAAACAATGGAGCTAGAACTAGTTTAACGGTCACAAACATTTATACGAAATAAAATAATATAGATAGGGATGTATATACAAAACTGACGTCAGGCAAGATCGCAACTACTTATCGTACTGGTTGGGCCAAGTCCAGATGCCTAAATCTCCCCACCCCGCCTCCCTCAATAGTTAGGGGCCTCAATGAATTTATTATTTTTCTTATTTTTTACGGTGCCTATGAAGTCTAGTTGCTACAAGTGAAGCGAGGCTCATCTTAAAACTATTTCAGTCGTTTATTTACTCACTTTATAGGTGGAGCTGTTAGCATTAGTACATAAACCTGAAAAAAACATTATAAAGCTTTATTCGCTATTTTTATTATTTTGTATTTAATGATAAAATACGTAATGATAACTCTGCTATTTTCATTTGTTTGTTTTAGCACAAATCTCAACTGTGTCCGCCACAGAAATCGAACTCTGAATCGTTCCGTTATAAACTTGCAAGTTTACCATTGAGCAACCAATAACACTGCTATTCTTAGATGTCTAATTGTTCTTCTACCAAGTTAAAGGCTTGTATTTGTATAGTTATGGCTATAATAGTGTGTGTGTGTGTGTAGTATTCACATGTGAAACTGCAACCACCATGCACGTCAAAAGAAAGCAATATCAAAGATTCGGAAAGCTTGGTTTGCTGAAAAATAAAATGGATAGGGACAGCAAAAATGTGAAACAAACACAGGTTTAACATAAAGGAGTGTATTCTTTATCATTTTGAACAAGGTGCCTTTACAATACTAGTAGATTGATTGTTTGAATAACTGAAAACACTAATAATTAAAAACACTAATATTAATTAGTTGATTATTCTCGTGACAATCGATTTAATCGTAATTTCAGTTAACTGATTGTTAAGGTAGTCCAAAACAGTAATAACACAGGTCTGCGTTGGTTTTATTATCTGAATTTTTTATATTTTCTACAGTAAGTCCTGTACGCTGAATACGAAAATCATATCCATTTTTATCCATCACGTAAAGATGTTTCACAAAACGTCATATGTACTTTTACATAAGTGAATAATTTTCCTTGAAATTGGGTCATATTTTGTTATGTTAAAATGTTGACAACCACTGGCTATAGATTTCTCTAGACCAACTGCGACGTGAGATTCTTATCGATCGTTATAGAACCTACGAGAAACACGCCGCTAGTATATAAACGGTTAACAGGTCCCATGACGTGCCATTTCTCGATAATATTTGTTTGTGCGTTGACATTGTT